TAATATATAAAAATCTAGTTTTGCATACAAACAAATGACGTAAAATTTGAAACGAACTCAAAGGCGTATCTCGCGATCAAAACATTTAAAATTAGTTTAACATACTAAATATTTCTATCTCATTTTTAATTACGCCTCTTTGCAGCGTCAACAAACAACGTAAGCCACAATAACACCGCTGTGGATTACGGGAATTATGATTATCCGCCACCAGCCAAACGTGGTCGTGGCTATGCACCAATGGGCGAATTCGATTTGAGTCTCATACGTGAATTTCGTGCTCGTCCTGGCTTCTACGACCGCAATTCAGCAAGTTTCAAGGACAAATTGCATGTAGCACATCAATGGCAGGAGATTTCAAACAAATTGGGTTTCGATGGTAAGTATTCTTTCTGTACTATCGTCCCACTAGGGCTGTATGCAAATGTGGTATAGTAGTGTGGAGGTAGGCACAATAAATGCACCAACTTTTTACATGCATTTGGGTGTATGTATGTATGCTTACTAGGGTGGTAAAAAAAAAGTAAAATCGGAATTTTAGTGCTCTCACACCCTCTAGGATACACTATACACTTAGGTCTCAGAAAGAAGCATAAAAGAAATTGTCATAAAACATAAAAAAGTTCTTTACTTTCATACAAAAACGGGGGATGAGTTCAAGCATTTTCGAAAATGCATAAATACAAAAAAATCCCAAAATATTAATAGAAAAATACCCAAAAATAACAATAATTACCTTTCAAAAAGCAAAGAGTTAGTGGGGCCGAGTCCACAGTGCTTAGACGTTAAGCCATTGTTAACTTAACCACCAACAAAAATTTAACTATGATTTTTTTTTTGTCAGAACTATGGAAATTCATATCGCATGAAAATATTCAATTAAAATTTTCTGTACAAATTTGAAATGCATTTTTTGAGGGGTCGTATAAAAAAAGTTATTTATAGAAAAAGGTTAAATAAACAGTTGGGTATTGCCATTGGAAGAACAAAGTTGTCCGATCGAAAAATATTGATTTTTAAGAGTTGTATACCATTTCTACGAAAACTTGTTTTTTTCATATAAAATACATGGAAAACCTTAAGCGCTTTAAGCGACCTGTAAATACTCTTTTTTTCAAAATAAAAAAAAACGGGGGTTAAGTTTTTTTCTATAGATATAAAACAATCCTAAGTGGTGATTGCATTAAAATTCCGACTTTACTTTTTGGACTACCCTAATGCATACACATCCCTACAAGAACAGCGATAGTCATTTGATTGATCAATTTTTCAAAATGTCCATATTTGCCATTTTTCGGCACTTGAAACATTGTGTAAAACGATTTGAAATCAGCATCGAAAAATCTATAATATTAGGTCGGTTCCGCTTTCGAGATAAAACTCGTTCAAATTTTGTTGAACCAAGACTGCATACCTTATTGTTTGCTGTCTTTCCTGTAAAAGTCACACAAAAGGATTCTAAGTGGCGCAGATGTCGAGATATTTGAAAAAAACTTGTATTTATGGTCCGATATGGTTCATATTTGGAATGGATGTCCATATATTATTTACATGAAAGGGAATAACTCCACAAAAAATTTAGCGTTAGGTGGTGCGGAGGTAGATTTTTTCTTTTTTTTTAATTACTTGTACAAGTATTTTTTTTTTTAATTGTATAAGTTAAATATTTTTGTAAAAAGTGAATTGAAAAGGTGTCAAGTCCAATTTTTTCATAATTAAGTTTTTGATGCAGAATGACAGATAATGCGAAACTACATCGATTGAAAAAAGTGGACTTGGCACCTTTCCATGTTTAGGCCACGATATGTATGTATGTACGTATGTACATGGGTATATTAAAAATAATTGTATGAATGATTAATTTACATTGATAATATGCATTTTAAATTTTCAGCTTAAAGACCACGTAAACCACCACTTTTTAATTTGGTAGAATTTTGTGAATTATGAAGCAAATGAAAGCAAGCAAAAACTATGTATATAAATAAAAGTTTCAAACTTTATACAAAGTTTAGAAAAATGCATTGAATTTTCATCAAATTTTCAAGCTTTTTAATAAATTTTTTTTTGGAAATTTTCGGGTATGCAGTTTAGTAGCCCATTTAATTTGAGTATATAATATGCACACCTACGCGGGGCCACGGGTGTATTTAAAGTAGGTTAAAAATTAAAAAAATAAGGCATCATCATTAAAATTTTTCCTTTGTTTTTGTAGTGGTTTTTCTTCAATTCAGAAAATTTTTTAGGATGGTTTTAATTCCTTAAAGGGGGCAGGGGTCATCTCAAAAACAAAACAAAAATTATTATGGGTAAGTGTGGTGTGAAAAAGTCCATCACTTGAGCTATGAATGGAGTTTCTAATAGGTTTTATATTTTTTATTGATATTTTTTAATCAACCACGACAACAGTTTCAGTTCTTAAGTAAATACATATGTTTTGTTCAAAAATACATGTACATCATATACATATGTATGTATATTTAAAAACTATACGTCCGTTATTTTCATAAATTCAGTAAAGGTCTGTATTTCAATTCAGTGGAACTTTGTGTGCTGCTAAAAATCTGCTTAAACAAAATATCGTATTGCTCTAGCGGCAACCTAAATTAGTTTAATTGAAAATTCAATTACACTAATTATGATTTAATAAAAAGTTAAAATGAAGCAAATGAGAGAGAGAAAGCGACAAAGATAGAGAGAGAGAGAGAGAAAAATGCACATAGAAAAAACGCGAAACCTGGACTACGAAAATATTGAGGTGGGCCATAAATTGTAGATAGTGGTTTCGCTGAGTTGTTTATTTTGATTTTTATATGCATAACAGCAATAACAACCACACAAAGCGCTGCGCTACGAGAGAGCAGAAAACCAATAGCGACAAAACCAAACAAAAAATAAATAAATGAGAAGCAATGAAAAAATCTGAAAAACAAATATTTGTAAACAAAGTTTGCCGTGTTTGGTTGTTGTTGTTGGTTGTTGGTGCTGGAAGATGGATTATTGCTAGTAGCGCATTGTATTATATATGTACATACATATACATATGTACATATGTATTGATGTTTATTTGTGTAGTATGTATTTAGATAACTACGTAGGCTTTTTGAGTGACATTCAGTGGACATAGGCTTGTGGGTGGATTGGTCTGGTCGATTGGTCAGTAAAAAAAAGGTATTTTGTTTACAATCAGCTGATAGCGACGCACAAAACGATATTAAGTTGTTGCGCGCCGCCTTCACGCAACCAATTGTTGCATATGCCAACTATTGCACACAGTCCACTTGTGCTCCAACTACATATACATACATATATCCATACAAATTCAATTCGAATTTCTTTAATGTAGCAAATACATATATATTTATTTCCATTTCTAGTTTCCTTGCTGAAGGATCGCATGCTACAGCTGCGCAATCGTTATAATCTCGAGAAGCGTCGCCTCGAGCAGTTGCGCGATGAGAATCCCGGTCAGTCGGTTGACTCACCATGGCCGCTATTTCATCATTTACATTTCCTCTCCGAACACATACGGCCACGTCGCTCTTACAAGAGCATGCAACCGCGTACATCGCTCGCTGATTCGGCTGATGATGACGAGGACTACACAGAGCGTCCGCGACCGAAACGGCACCAGCAGCGTCAGCTTAAGCCGCATTTGGCAACTAGATCAGCAACTGCTGGTGGTGGCAGGCGTGACTCCTACAGTGATGGTGGCGGCGACGGCGGCGACGGCGGCGGTGCTGTTGGTGGTGGCGGCGGCGCCCACAATAGCAGCGCCGAAACTTACGCTAATGGTATGCTCACCGTCAAAATGGAGGAACCAGATGGAGAAGACCCAGATGTCGCCGATGCTGAATCGTAATACATATTTAATTTACCCCATTTCTTGAAATGCATTCATGTTTTTTTTTTTTGAATAAACTGTATTTTTCATATTCTAGTGGCAGCCAAAGTGGCACTGAGGACAACAGCAGGGGCCATCCCTTGAAGCTAAGTGCCGCTTCCACATTGCTTAGCATGCAACAACGTCAGCCACATTCCATGTCGCCATATAACAAGTCCAGCACCTCGTCATCGATGGCTTTGAATAAACGTTCATCAAAATATTCGACTTTGCCAGCTGCTCCACCGGCATCAATCAAAATACGCCGCTTGGATACGATGCAAGAGCGTACGCCGGGCGTTGCACACACGCAACAGCGCGCCAGCAACAACGACATTCCTTCGCATAGCAATTTCAACAATAGTCACACAAACAATAACAACAAACGTCAGCGGCAACAAGAGTACACATCATTGATGTCGCGTCAAGTGCAAGTGAATCGTCGTTGTTTGAACAATTCAGAGCAAAAGTATGCCGCTTTTGGCGAATTTGTATCCGCCTCCTTGTTGGAGTTGCCAGCAACACGTGCCCTGCAGTTGGTCGAAAAGTTCACGTCAGAGGTGGTGCGCGTGCTTTTGGACAGCACAGAGAAATCGCCGCAAGTAGGCGCTGAACAAAGTATGGCCCAGCAACAGCAGCAGCAGCAGCAGCCGCCACCACCGCTACAGCTATTGCAACCATTGCTGTCACAAGCGCAACCGCAGCAGGTGCCAACACAATTTCAGCAAATGAATGGGAGCATTAGCGAAGCACTAAATGGCGTTTAAATATTGTATGCTTGTTTTTTTTTTATTGAACAAGAACAAAAGATAACATTTAATTTTAATTATTTTTTAATGAATTGACTGTCAGTGTTTTCCTACTCGTAATTTTTAGTTATCTCTTACAAATAGTAATTACATTTATGTCTATGTATTTAAGCGTCTTATTTGAACTACGCTTGTGTCATATGTTGAATAAAGTTTTCCGCATGTGCTTTTAATACAGTGTATCGATTTCAGAAGCTACATACGTATCTTTGTTAAAATATAGAAAAGTCCTAACTGACAATTTTCATTTTTTTACGGAAAAAGCAAAAACTAACTGATAATACATTGCTAGAAATTCACACAGAACGCGATACTTTAATAATTCGCGCAACACTGCGGTTGTGATTGCAACTCGAACAAGCCCTCTCAAATACAAACATTTTCAAAAGAGTGCGCGTACCGAAAATTTGCGAAAACTCAAGTTTTAGGTGCAGCTGCATTAAAATATAAAAGGAATAAAAAATGAAACCTTTTTACCTGGAGTAATCTGCTCGGCGAAGCAAAAAATTTGTTTTTACTTACTTCCCAAACATTTGGAGTTCTATTAAATTCACATTTTAAACTTAAAAATCATTGAAAACGATTTCGTTATTTCCATAACTTGCAATCAGATGATCAGCTGGTTTTTCTTGGTGGTAAAAATTTGTTCCTGCTAGAATTTGCAATTCCTCTCCAAGTCAACTGTCACTTGATAATTTGCAATAATTGTCAATCATTATCAGTTTGTCGAGCAGACTTAATGATGTCTGATGACAGTATTTATTAGCGTTTCGTAGAAAAGAAATTGGAAATTTAAACTCTCAAAAAATACAAACTACCAAGGCATATTGAACAGCTACTACCTGTAAATCAGCGGATTTGATTTTTTCAAATTATTTAGTCCCTAAAATGTCAAACATTTCATTTATATGTGCTGCATGCTCCCCAGAATAGGACCTTCTTCAAAGAGAAGACTATCTATGTTTTCATCGAGTCTTTTTACGAAGAACCACAGTCGGGACACGTAGAGGAGCATATACGAGTATAACGAGATAAGATGTAAGCGACATTTTTATTTTATTATTTTTTTTACGCAGAAATTCATATGGTTGCTCTAGGAAGATTTCTACCATGGTACAGTTTCATAAGTAAAAACACTATCAGCTGATTGCCAAAAAATGCCTACAGCTGAGATCACCTGTTTTTTTTGGCATTTGCTCTTATCTTTTACAATTTCTTTAATTTCTATTACAATTTCTTGAATTTCTATTACAATTTATTCAAAATACACTAACACACTGAACCTAAAACGCTAACCAAAAACACACCTACAGCCTGCCAGAAAAAACGGTAAGAAGAAGAGTTACTTTACTTATGGAACTGTATGATGATTTCTACATCACAAAGAAAATTAAAAAAAAAAAATCACATATTGGCGGTTAGAACTCGATATGCACATATGTAGATATATGCCCAGTATATAATTTCAGGATCCAAAGGGCCTTCCTGAGAGTCCCAATAGATTGCTTTCTTTTCTGTATGGAGTCACGCAAATTGAAGGTCCTTTGATTTCGCGACCCATAGAAGGGCTTCCAGAAGAGCTTCTGTAGAAAAAAACTTCCGAAGGCCTTGTGCAAGTGTTCTTCAAGCATTTGAGCAGCATTTGAATTCATAACAATTATAGTTCTTTAAGTTATTTACTTCATTCATATCCAATGTCGTTTATTGCAAAAAGCTCTTTTAGAAGGCATGCTGGAAACCACTTATTTTAACCCTTCTTGGGTAGGCCTTTTGGAATGGTTTTAATTGAGAATGAATTTAATTGAACATGAATAGTCATCGCCCAGTAAAAACTTTGCTTCTTTGGTAAGCACGTCGATTTTTGGATCAATGGAGTAACGCATTACAACATACATACCTCAAGACGAAATTTTACACTTATTCGCTTAGCCATTGCATTACATGTAATACAGTAGGTAAGCTTATTCGCTTAAACCTCCAATGCCATGCGCAGGTTAAAGTAATGCATTCTGTAAACTTGAAGGTAAGTGGTGAATCTCGATTGGTAAACACTTTTCGACTCACAGGTAATTTATTATGCATATCGTTACAAATATTTCGCAGGGATTCACACCTACATTCATATGAATATGGAGGTGCTTGCCAGCTAATCGCTAGGGCAATGTCGTAGAGCTTCGAACCCCATGTTAGCTCTTGACAACCCGATGTTAAATTCGTCAGGCAATCGAATGGGTGCCAAGTTTGTGACTAGTACTCCCTCCTGCGGGCCAGCAAAATCGTTAAGCCTTGATCACACCTAACGAGTAGAGTGACGAGACAGTAACTCGGCCGAGTGCTCGTTGCGTATAAACAATTTGTTTATTATAGTATTTTGTTTAGTTTCTTTTGTGTATTCCTTATGATTCCATTAAAATGAGTATCAAGCGGAATTAGCTTCTATTATGTTCGGTATAATCTGGTTGAAAACGTCGTCATCCGCGATGCAATTCAATCATCCATTGCCTCAAAACTTAACTGACTCGCCACTTACATAGGTAAATACGTAAAAACATCTACTCGCCCACAGAACTCTCTCGGACCAGTGTTATCTTATTTTCTCGCCACTCTGCTCCTAAGGTGTGATCAAGGCATTAGTATTGCACGGTGAGAGCCGAACTACAGAGGAAATTCTTATTTTCAAAGACATACATACATATGTAAGGCATATTGTAATCGTAATGAGAGGAGTAATGGTAAAATGAGGGTCTCGTAGTATCCGCAAGGGCAGGGCGTTGACGGAGATGATGTTCTATGCGACGAATGAGTGTGTGGGACCTTCTCTTGTCGAAGCTTAGGCCTTCACAGGAATAAAATAAAATTAAACAGTCGACTTTATTGTAATATTTATTAACCCTTTATGGGTATTTTGGCCCATTATTTTGACCTTAGTTTGATTTAAGTTAAAATGGGTTGCTAGAGTAAGTTAAAATGGGTAGTTACTGGGAGGCTCCATTTTTTCGTGGTTAAAAAAACTGAATCGTTCTCATGGATTGGTTCAAAGTGCGAAGAATGTCTGAAGATTCGGTTTAAACCCGCTGCTTTGTAGATTTGTTAATTACTATAAAAGGCATATTATGCTAATGGCGACTTAGAAGTTGTTAAATACTAAAGTAAATAGATTGAAGTATGTATTTAAGGGATGCTAAAAAGACTAACCATGTACATAAGTATTTGAGGTTGCAAATATGTACTAAAGTCCTTCCTTGTGATTAAAAAAACACAAAATTTTATAGAAATTTCTCTTGATGCCGATATTGATATTTTACATTGCACCGAATTTTATAAATTTTTGGAAACTTTTTCTTCGGATTTTTACGGAACTTTTCGGAATTCTTCGTTATTAATTTTCGTTTTTTTTTTGTTGTTGAGGTCTTTGGGCATTTTTTGGTGAGATTTTTATTCTCTCACAACTTTTCGGGGTTTATCGTGTTATATTTTACTTACTTACTTTTTAGGACTATTGCGTGATTTCGAGACTTCTCGGTATTACTTTTGTCTGGTGTATTTAACCCTGGAAGTACCTTTTTATCTTTGTTTCGGAAACAACACACGTCATCAACTTGTCGATTCAACGAAGAAAGTACTTCTAGGGTTAACGAAACAATAAAGTATAGATCCCCCATGAAATTCGATAATTAGTAATCAATCCCCTTTGAAATCTCCATGGCAGTATGCTACAGTGGTGGTAAAATAAATAGGGACGCGACATTTTAACATATTTTGGCTATTTTTATTTAAAGTTTATTATTTTTTTATGAAATTGCCGCTCGTTATCAAACACAAAACAAATACCATGTAAATCGGTTTTTTAAACCTTGTACACAAATTAGGAAAATTCGGCAAACTTTCATCAAAACTTAAAAATTTGCATACAAAGTACATCGCCTATCTTACGCCTCTCTAATTTTACAGGAGAACGAAAACACTGTTTTTCTCTGAAAGCATAGACTTGAGAGGTGGGTATTTTCTCTAGCTATTATTTAAAAATCGGTTGTTTTAATAATGATTTTTATGCATAAATCTCGATGCCTGAAGTTCAGGGTTGCCAAATCTCATTTTTTCTACAACGTTGATTTAGGCGGTTTTGCAACTTGTTGATGGGCGGTTTTGCAAAAACATCGACGATATTTGATTTTTTTTTATATGGAGGAAAATGCACAACACGGTCAGCGAAACAACTTGGCAAAAATCAACGGTAAGTTCTAGCTATGTACCTCAAATTTGCACTAATATTTAATGCGCTACAAAACTACATAACTATAATTTTTTTTTAACTCTGAATAAAAGGTTTGAAATTTTGATGAACATTTGTTGAATTTTTATAAATCTTGTACATGGTTTGAAATTTTCACTAACGCCGAATTTTCTTTAGGCATTAAATGCCACAAAAGTTAATGACAAAGCTGGGCATTAAAAAATACCTGTACCATTATGTTATGAACAATTGTCATTAAACTCATTTCCTTACGGCATTTTTTAAATGGCACATATTTTTCGTCATTTCCATGCCTAGTGGAAATTTGGCATTACTTTGTTCATATTAGATAGTGAGCTATACTTTTATAAAAAAAAATAATAAACTTGTTAAAATGTCGCGTCCCTATTCATTTGCCCGCCACTGTATCTACGCCACTGTAACCAAGTGATGTCAAGCTTCCCGTAATTATTGTTACACTGCCTAAATACAGCGAGTTTTTTCTTCTAATTAGACTTATTTTTTATTCTTTCAGAAATTTTTACCTCCAAAGTTCGCCTTGGTTGCCTGTAAAGCAGATGCCCGGGAATAGTACATCAGTCGCTTGGAAGGAATGCATTTTTTTGTTGATACTCCTTCCACATGCGACTGCTCCAAACACACAACCCAACTTTGTCGTGGCTCAATCTGTGTTCGCAATGCGCCAACGGTAGTTACGAGTCATTTACATTTGAATACATAAATTAATTGCCAAAGTGACTTGGCGGCGCTTGCGGCTGTTGACTGGCTGGACGTTAAAGGAAATGTGAAAAAAAATTATGAAAATGCATAAATAAAAATAAATGTGTAGTAAATGTGTTAAAAAATAATAAATTCGCTTACGGCGATTTTTGTTGGCAGCTGAATGTCGACGAATGTGGGCATGCATATACGGAGTAT